TCTACTCCGAAACCAAATCGTCTGGGGAGTTATTCGGTCCCAAAACTACTGTTTGCCACCCGCTGCTGCGGACGCCGAGGGCCTGGTGCTGGACGCCGCGGCCCCGCTGCTGCGGGGCCCCTGAGAGGGCGTCGGCCTCCCCTTCTCTCTGGCGGCGTCGAACTTGACCTTACGCTCCACACCGAGGTCCTTGTACCAGCGAAAAGTTCCTGACCCGTCGCTCCCGCCCAAACCCGCGGTTGGTGGCCTCACCGTGTCCGCGTGGGGGACGAGGGGCAGAGCTTCGACCTTCCTGTCGCCCCAGTGCGGGTGTAAACGGACGCCTGTCCCGTCGTCGCGGTGCAACACGAAATCCCACATCGGCAGCTTCACTTTCACCCGCTGCCCCGCGAACTGTCGCGCGCGCACAATACTCTGACGCATGTGGTCGTAGCTGTTTGGCCGGACTTCGAGGGAACAGCCGATCAGAGCCCCGCTGCTGCGGGGCCCCTCCACGACCTCCCTGATATCTTCCTCCCTGAGCGTCGCCACCATCTCTTGCCACCGCCAAGGGACTTCCTCGTCGCTTTTGAAACCAAAGCTCGTCCTCGCACCGTGGTCGCAAACAGCGACCATGGTGGGCTTCGCATTGTCAAACCACTTGGCTTCTGACTCGAACGGGGCAGTTGGGTCTTCATTCAGATGGCGCCACCATTTCAACGCTTGATTGTGTTGCTTAAACGAAGTGCCGAGCCTCTCTTCATAACTCAAAAAAATAATTAACATCAAACTTCTCAAAATCCTGGGGCCCGCGCGCCGCCGCCGCTGCGGTGGCGCGGGGCTCCTGCGCCGCAGGCGCGGCTCGGGATCCCGACCCCTCTCCTGAAACTGTGTTCCCAAGTTCTGGTACGTTTCGGAGGGCAGCCCTCACGAAATTATCGAATTCGGGCTTGCCGAGACCAGGGGCGCGGGGGCTCACAACGCTAAGCGCGGCGAAGCGAGACGGCCGTTGAGACGAGACCGCCGCCGCTGCTGCGGCGGCAGGGCCATCGCGCCATTTGGCGTCCTCCGTTGGCGTGTGCCCGTCTTGTCGCCAGTCTCTCCAACCCCTCGCTGACCAATCATGGCCGTCCTCCCAGCCACGCCAGCCGCTGCTGCGGCTATCCCACCATCCTCCCGCGCCATCCCATGTGTATCCGCCTGCATCGCCCATTGCAAGACGATGGCGCAGGCGCGCGTTAGGCCGCGACGGGCCCAGCTGCACCGGTGCTCGCGGGCGATCCCACGGGCGCGGGGTGGTTTGAGCATAGCGGCGGCGGACGACGCGACGTGATTGGACGGCGGAGAACTTGAAAGGAAGGGGGGTTGGAAACGAATGAACGAAGTGGACGAAGAGCGGAAATCGAACCAGAGGGAGGCGAAAAAAGAGCGGAAAAGAATAAGGACATGCAGACGAAGGAGAGTGACGAGGTAGATGGCGGGCCAGAACGGCAACGGAGGATAATGTGGTGGAAATTGTGAAAAGGACGCATGGAACAACACGACGAGGATCACAGACGCAAAGATGATGAGCGCAGTGGTAGCATGACATATCCGAAATCAAGAAGCAGGATGAGGAGGAACGGGATGACGAGCAACTCTGTCGCAGAGAGCCTCCGAACGCACCCCCTCTGTCACAGAGGGCCTCCGAACGCACCCCCTCTGTCACAGAGGGGGTCCGAAAAACACCCCCTCTGTCACAGAGGGGGGAAATGATCACTTTAATGCGGCTTCTGGATTACATCTTCCCCCCTCGCCCCTCCCTTCCTCTCCCCTCCCCCTTCCCCCCTCCACTCCAACCTCGCCGTCCATCCTTCCCCCTCGCTCCTCGCCTCCCCCCTGCCCTCAGCCCCTCGTCTTCCCCCTCCCGCCTCCACCCTCCCTCTTCTCGACTTCCGCTCTCCTCTCGCCTCCTGGGCTGGGCTGGGCTGGGCTGGGCTGGGCTGGGTGTCCTTCAGGCACCTGCGCGCTCCCTCCATCCCTCCGTCCCTCCCTCCTCCACCATCCCTGCGTCCGAAAACCTTCCGGCCCAATACCTGCGCAATGCCTTGCTTCATCGTGTTCCGCGGCACTCGCGCCGCGCGTCTCCTGGGTGTGGCCGGCCACGGCGACCTGCGGCAGAGATGACGTGTGCTCCAGTGACGGCGACGTATGGTCGCACAACTGAGAGGGGCGATCAACGTACGGTCGCACACCTCACCTCTTCCCCTCGGGGACGGGAGATCCTCTGCCACGGAACCTCCACAGGCCCAGCTAAAGCCCAGCTCGGCGGCTGAAGGAGGAGGAGGAGGAGGAGGAGGAGGAGGAGAAGGGGAAGGAAGAGGAAGAAGAGAACGGCCGCCGATGTCTCAACTGGTGGAGGGACGAGGTCGTCGGTCGTCGCCCGTCCGTCGTCGATAATCCGTCGCCATCCTAATTAAGATGAATCCAGGATCGGAACATATTGGATCGGAATACATCAGGAATCTCTGAGATCCAACGG